TGGGAAGGTCGATTCGGCCGTTCTTTTCAGACAAAGTGCCCATACGGCCTTGCGACGAGAGAAGGAGGTCCATAATAACCTGAGTGTCTAATGCCCAATCTCGGGGGTCATTGAAAACAAAGACAGCGTCGATCTTCAAAGTCTTCGATGGATCATTGAGGTCAATGGGGCGCGGGAGCGGTCGGGCAAATGTTTTATAATAGTTGGTGAAGTTCTTCGAAAACGGCCAGACAGCAGGGTTGGCCATGAGAATATCGGCCGGGGTGACAATATTCTTAAATCCATACCTATTACTATTGCTTAGCATATGCTATTCAGCAGCAAGAAGGGGGTGTTGACATACTGTTCTGCCACGCGCCGACAGTTATCGCCATCGCCTCCGGCCACTAACACACACTTGTGTTCCAGAGCGCTCGACTCGTCCCATCCCTTCACCAGCTCAGCAAATGGTGAGTGACTCTGCACGATGTCCGTAGCATCCAAGGGGATCCCTAGTTTCTCGCTAATTTCCGCGACACGCTCCGTCTCGTGTTTACCGCCGCCGTTGGTGAGCAGAAGAAAGGGGATGCCTTGCTCCTTCAGCAGAGCCAGCGAGTCGGCGGCGCCGGGTATAGGTTTTGATGCGCGGAGGAGGACACCATCGATGCTGTAGTATGTAAGAAGTAAATCGAGTGGATTGCGTTCGCTGATCAAGACTCACTCAAATGCAAATGCGAAGTTGGGGACCGGTCGAGAACTTGCCGTTTGGATAGCCCGGCAGGTGATATTTTTACGAGAAAAGAGTGTGTGACGCTGTAATAGGCCAAACGACCGCCAAAGGGCTTGCGATCTCATTATGGTAGTTGTCCTGGGGAATGTGTAAAGGAAATGCACGTCATTGCCAGGTTCCCGTGCGGGATCTTTCCCCCACTCTCCACACCTACAACTCCCACCTGGACAACTTCGGAGGATTTATGAATCAAGTAGTGCAATCAAATCAGCTTAGCTAGCATTTTCGCTATCAGCGCGTTATTTTCTTAAAAATGTGCACCTAACATTCTTTGGTTCGACTAGTACTCTTACTTTAACAAAGTCTGTTTCATGGGTTGCGCTATTGTACATCGGCTCAGAAGATAGCTGCTCGAATGGTAATATGCCTTTAAAAGGCTGGTGCAAAGAGAGAGATGTGTATGCAAGACTGCATAAGAATGCATGAACGCTTATCAAACTGGCTCCTTATCCATGACATTGAGACCCATGTCAAAAAGAGAATCAAGTTCCTCTTCAGGACACTTGTCAATGTTCTTCCATACCCGTTTGTCAATTTTGGAGTGGGATGCTTCAGGTATTATCTCAAGACAGGCAGGGCTAATACCAAGATAGCACACACGGGAAAGATTCGTTTTCAATGCCTTGCAAAGATCATCGGGATCAATCTCTGTGGAAAAAGTGTCGTCACATGGTGCCGTGAGTTCTAGCGCACGAATAGATATTGGAGAATCCGTCAGATAAAACGGGGGAAGAAGGAGTAAATCGTCAAGCAAATCAAAGGGTATCCGAAGATACTTCAAAGCAATGAGAGCCGATAAGATCTCAGATGGCCCCTCCTCAAACATCTCGCGGTTCAAAGGGTGGATGGTCAATTCAGTAAGGGTGGTGCGGAGCTGCTCGTTCATAAGGATCTCTTCCAAAACGGAAGTGTTCAGATCATCGCAACCTCGAAATGTCAACCCTACCAAGTTGCGGGGCCACCTGAAGGAAGACATTTTCTCGACATCAAATTGCCCGCCAACCCGGAGGTATTTCAGATTGGATGGCCAGTCTTCACTGGAACCGTCGTCTGTGATGAACATTGAAGGTGAAAGGTCGAGAATCTTCAGTTTGTCGAGGCTGCTGATGGCTTTTTTCAGAGCGTAAAGCGGAATTGGCTCAGCTACCAAGCCAAGGTAAAGATAGGAAAGCTCCTTGCATTTTGCTAAGGGCGCAAGGCTGTTGATCCTGCGGGGAGGAATTAGCTGAAGGTCTGATGGTATGTTGTCACAGCCAGTATCTACTCACGAAAAAGAGATCCTCGGAGCAACAAAACTCTTCAGGTTCTTCTTCACTCGACCTAGAAGCCGTGCCGTTAGGCTATTGGAGCTGTGATGTACCAATACTGAGAGGTTCAGGTCATGAACAAGTGAGCCCAGGTCCACTTTTCGTTCTCGGGAGCGTATTGGTGGGCACACAGTTTTGGTGAAAAGCGAGAAGCTATTCCCTTCGCCAAGTTGAGGTCGGTAGTAGAGAAATTCGATACCAGCAGAGTACCACTGGCGAGAGACCAGACAGAATCTTTGAAGCGTAACTTGAAAACTTGGGTAATCAGTACGCCAATCATCAAAAATGAATTTGGCAATGAGTATTAAGACCTCTGTAGGAAGGTGAACATATTGGCAAGAAGTCATTGCTCCGGAGGGATCGATCAGCCTTGACATTTGCAAGTCAAACAGGCAATAAATTTTCAAATAGACATCATAAAGCACAAATGTGTGCAAAATATGACGTGTGATGTTTCGTGACAATTAGGGATGAAGATGGGGACGAAGAGGCAATAGAGAGACCGAACCGCTTACGAGAGAGGCAAAGACAGAGGTCATCTCAAGTGAAGCGCGATTGTTAGGCGATTTTTCCCTCACTTGATTGAGAAGGCAAGCAGAAAGGACTGTCAATTGAGACTGGCAAAGAATGGTCTAAGGAGAGATTGTGGAGAGTAAGTGATAGAAAAGACATGAGGGGTGGATTGAAGAGTCAATGATTGGAGATGCAAAGATAGGCCGATGACGATCCTTATCTTTTTTCCCGGCAGATGCAGGTCCCCCGCCTTCGATAAACAATTATTCTCACCGCCTTAGGCTTGCTTGTATATATACAGTTTCAAACCGCGCGGCGGAAGGACTGCAAGTCAGACAGGTACTCCATAGGGAGAAGTACCTGTAGCTTGTCTTTTGAAAAAGAACGGAGGGTGGGATCGTACTACCTTTCCGAAGAAATTCCAAGTAGTCCCGACCCCGCGCTGCGCGCGGCGGAGGACTGCGATCGGTAGGCGACCCAGCACTCAGCGGCGAGCGAACTGGCCAGTTGGGTATCTATATAAATCGCCAACCACGGACACGGAACGAACGCGAGATAAAGGCGAAATTACCGAGCTGCTCGCATAGCAAAAGCGTAAATGGCGGGCCACGCAGCAACGATAAGGCGTACAGAGCTCAAAATTGGCACAGTTATAGGGCCCAAATAGCATGAAACTGCAAAGAGAAGCAAATCGTAAGAGCAAATAGCGAGTGAGAAAAGAAGGCGGCAAGTATGAATTCCATTTTGATGGGGTGCGCAAGTGGCCTACCCGGGAAACCAGAGCGCAGTCTGCAGATCTAACAGCCAACGAGAAGCCAGCATTCTGCAGATGACGGTAACGGGCGCAAATGAATATACAACGGAGGACTGTAATTCGCCGGTGATGGAGACACGAACGGGGATTGGAGGAAAAATAAGGAGGTTGGCTAGTTGATATGACAAGCTATTATAGGAAATCGAGGGCCGGCTTTCGTGCTCGGTAATAGGAGTAGGGTTATAACAAGGTGAAAGTAAGAGATAAGAAGAATTTCAATTTTAAGAGTATATCTTCCTCTATAAGCTTATAGTTAGTAGCACTAAAAGCCGTATAGGAAACGGAGAGCCGGCTTTTATCTCGGCAAGGAGGGTAGCGACGGATTCCGCAGATACCACCATGTTAGAAATCGAGGTAGAGTTAAAGGAGAGATATAGTGTGAAGCCACCGATATCCTTTTTAGAAAGATATCTATCGGATATATATATAGAGAGAGAGAGAGAGGAAAAGAGTAAGGGAGTATGAAGAAGGTTTATATATGGGGGATTGTTAGTTGTACCTCCCCTTTTGGATAGACCCTGCCTTAAAATGCCTGAAATTCCAGTACCGCCTTCCCGATCAGGTGCGGCCAAGAATTCTGCCATAATATCTGCCTTTTTTCTGCCCACTTCTAGTTTATGTAGTGAAAAAACATGGGTTTAATCAGAAAAAGTCGTACATTCTGCCTGATCCCTAAGTCAGCCTACTTCCGGGACTCCACATGCGCGGTTTCGTCCATGTCCGCGTCTCGGGACTCGGTGCCTGGCTTGGTGCTGGGTATGGTGATGGGTATGGTGCTGGGTAAAGTTCCTGGCTTAGTGCTGACAAAAGTGACTTGGTTTTGTTTGGGGTTTGCGTATAAATTGCAGGTATCTGCTGTCGTCCTATATTATATTAGGAGTTTGAGATAAAAGCGGTATCAAAGCTGGAGGGCGGTGAGGGGAGCGGTAGGCAGAAGCAGGTGTCGAGGTAGGTGCTCTTACCCGATGGGGAAGGCGGTACTGAAATTTCAGGCATTTAAGGCAGGGGGTGTTTGGGGTACGTCTACCAGGGGGGGGGGGTTACAACTAACAATCCCCTGTATATATAATAGAAACAAAATATACAATATAGAAGCTAACGTGAGAAGCG